CAGCCGTGAGCTTCCCCACCGTCTCTCCCATTGGCACTTGTTCCTCACAGAATGATCCTGGTGTTCCTATACTCTCTGCCTGCTGGGGGTCTGTGTGGACACTCACGCTCCCATGGACGGGATAAGAGACGCCACTTCAGAGTTTGTTATGGAGGGGGATGTTGAGAAAGAAATTAGGAATGGTGTGTCAGGGAATGTGGAAAGGCTCTGATTCTAAGCATCTTCCACAGCAGAAGCAAGTCTATGACGGACGAGTAGCGTTCCTGGCATGGTATGCAGTTGTTTCTAGGTGGGTGAGAGGCACTTTGCATATTGGTCCATAGTTGGCCCTGTCGAAGATGGAAAGTGGGCTTTGGTTGCCAACACATCAGTGTGAGGGACTCTGGATGGAAGTAAATAAATAGCTCTCACCAAAGTTATTTTTTTAAAATTGTGATTTTGGGTGAAAATGTGCATAGCTAATTGGGCTCCCCTTGGTGGCACAATGAGGAACACTGGTGGTGCTGAATTGGGAGAATTTGGGAGAAAGATGAGGCTGTCTGTTCCTGTCAAGATTTACAGCCTCAGAACCCACTTAGTCGGTGGGCTTGTTTGGGGGCTTTGTTTGGTGGCAGAGTGGTTAAACGCTTGGCTGCTAGTGCAGGGCTGGCAGTTCGAGCCCACCAGCTGCTCCTCAGGAAAGAAGACGAGGCCGTCTGCCCCTAAAGATTACAGCGTCAGGAGCTCTGTGGGGCAGAGCTGCTCTCTCCTACAAGGTCTCAGTGTCTCTGAATAGGCTGCGTAGCAGTGGGTTTGAAACGATTTGTGTATAAATTGCTCCATGCCATGAGTTAGAGTTTTTACATGGCGCCCATATTCTTGTCATTTCCATTCTACCTGTGCTGTTTTCCACTGATCGAGCTGCTCTTCTCCCCTTTGCTTTGGGGTAAAGGTTGACCATTGGAGAAGTTATGTTTCTTCTTCGCTTACTGATATAACAAGAATTTGCTAAGACCTTTATTAGTTCTGAGTGAGTGCTTTCTTCTCCTTTGGAAACACATGACCATAAGCAAACATATAGGGGTGCATGAGAGAAAGCTTGGGCACACGGTAAGAGTGGTGTGAATCTGGCATTTCTTGATCACTTGTTGGAACAGTCCCCTGATATAGCACAGGACAGTGACTCACATGACAAATAACAGACATTTAGGAGCACATACTTTTTAAGAAATCTGTCTGTGAACAAGTGAATTCTGGGTAGTTTGCTGAAGCCTCGGTTTAAGAACCTGGGGACTCAGACCTTTGAAAGTAACTATTTTTGGATGACTCTCACTTCCCCAGAGCCAATAATCTTGCAGCTGTCTCTGGGGAAGGTGGTTTTAATGAGGGGTAGCAGGAACTCTGTGAGGAGGCCCCAGACAGCCCACATCTGCCAGACGGTGAGAGGACACACGGAAGCTTTCCAGATGTTCCGCCCTGTCCAGCCACTATTCATTTAAAGCCAGTTGTGTGCCAGGCACTGCTCTCAGTACAGGTGTTTACTCATTTCAATTACCGTCTCACAAAACCTATCAACAGGTCTTGGTAACGTTACTGCTGCGTCTATAATGACATACAAGCGTCATGGCAGAATAGGTTCAAGGCGCATAGGTATTTGTCCTTTTTTCCACACATCCTTGCATGCTTGCTAAACCACATGATACTCTAAGCATTGTCCACATGAATCTGCTCCATTATTTCTCCTAGCAGCCCCACAAGGCAGACGTTTTTAATGATGAGGAGACAGATGGGCAGCGAATACTCTTAGCTGTCCTCGGGTAAACAGGTTGTCCTCCAGGCAAGGCTTCGGGCCCAGGCAGCTGAGACATACTCTGCTCTCGGCACCTGCCTTGGGGCCATCCAGCTTCAGCACAAGCCCACATTAGGGTTTAGGTGGAGGCTGACAAGTCGACTTCATGACTGTCCATCTCAATTCATAGCAACCTAAAGGACAAAGTAGAACTAGCCTTCAGAGTTTCTGAGACGATAAATCTTTATGGGCACAGACAGCCTCATCTGTCTCCCTTGAAGCAGCTGGTGGGTTTAACCACTGACCTCATGGTTAGCAGCCCAATAATTAACCCATTGCACCAGCAGAGCTCCTCAAGGGGGCACCAGAGACCGGAATTTCCCCACTAAAAACAAATCACCGAGTGGATTCTGACTCCGAGTAACCCTATCAGATGAGGAGAAACTGTTCTCTGGGGTTTATGAGGCCTCAGTCTTTCCAAGAACAGAGTGCCCATCCTGAAGAGGGGCTAGTGGATTTGAACCACCAACCTTATAGTAAGCAGTCCAATGCCTAACCCAACATGCTACTGTTGTTGTTGTTAAATGCCTTCAAGTTGGTTCTAACTCACAGCGACCCTGTATAGGGTTTTCTGAGGTTTTTAAATCTGTGTGGGAACAGAAAGCCCTATCTTTCTCCCACTGAGTGGGTGGTTGGCTTGTGGTTTGCAGTCCCATGCTTATTGTATGGAGCCACCACTCCCCCAATGCACCATCAGGTCTCCTGATATATGTCTAGCATTATTGTTGTCAGGTGTCATTGAGTTGGTACCGACCCATAGTGACCTTATGCACAGCAGAACGAAACACGGCTCAATCCTGGGCCAACCTCACTATTGTTGCCACGCTTGAGTCCATTGATGCTGCCACTTGGCCATTCCATCTCGTTGGTCAGACACAATGCTAAATCTGTGAGGGGCCCTGAGGTCGGGCAGGACACACCCCTTACTCTGCAGAATACGTTGCCACTCCTGAGAATTTGCCACCCCATTCCGAATTCACTGGCCATTTTGAGAGGGAATCATCTTGGCTTTCTTCAATATTCTAACTATGGGGGCAGAGGGAGGTTTAAGTGTTAGCTTTGAATAGCATGAGGTGCACCTAAGTTTCCCGATGGACCTTGGGGTTGTGTCTGTATGTCATGAGGCTGGCCAGAGGACAGAGACCCACCTTGCTCAGAGTCCACCAGGGATGAACCCACTGCCAGTGAGTTGATTCTGACTTGGAGCAACTCCATGAGACAGAGTGGGACTGCTGCTCAGGGTTCGGAGGCCATGCATCTTTGTAGGAGCACACAGCCTCATCGCTCTCCTTCAGAGCTGCTAGTGGCTTTGAACCACCAACCTTGAGACTAGCAGCCCGGTGCCTGACCAACAAGAGGGCTCCTTTTCCAGAGGCCAGCAAGGGTTAACTCTGCAGCCTGGCTCCTGCCCAGGCCCCTGACTCCTGGTCCAGTACTGTGGGTGCACGCCAACTCAAAATCCCCAAGAATGGAAAAACAGGCCTGGAGGAAAACCGAACAGCAGGATAAACCATTGTTAAGGCAGACGGTATGGTTTTCATAAGAATGCCACATCAAATTCAGTTGACTTCTTACTTTCAAATGCAGTCAAGATTTACTTTCTTTAATTAAGTTATGCATAACTTTTTATCTTGGATATTTATACAAAATGTCTTCATGGATTGTCACATTTATGTTTTCTATCACCCGGTTGCTGTTTGTTGTTGTTAAGTGCCATCAAGTTGGTTCTGATTTATAGCGACCCTGAATAGGGTTTCCAAGGAGCAGCTGGTAGGTTTGAACATCCAACCTGGTGGTAACTAGTCTAGTACCACAGCAAGACCCCACACATACACACAGATGTGTATACACATGCACATGGATGTCTACATATACCTACACCTCCATATGTGCATGTGTGTGTATCTGTACATGTATGGGGTCCTTCTGTGGTGGGAAAGAATAAACACAAGACTACTGCCCACAAGGTTGGCTGTTCAAACCCACCACCCATTCACTGGAAACCTTAAACAGGAATTGCCAGAATGCCAGTGAGTCTGGTTTTTAGGGCTGGGATGTGTGTGTATTTGCTGTTGTTGTTGTCAAGCACCACTACCCTGTACAGCATTGCCACACCTGTGAATCCTTAGGGTCTCATCTTCCTCCCTCAGAGGGGCTGGTGGGTTCTAACTGTCGACCCCGTGGTTAGCAGCCCAACGCCTAAACACACAGGGCTCATCAAAAAGTTTGTGAGAAAATGGAATCAAAAGATAATGGAATTTTCCCACAAAGTTTTTAGAGGTCCCTCATGCCTGTGTGTGTATGTGTGTGTGTGTATCACTGCTGTTCATATGTCCTGGTGTGGTGCTGTGGGTTAATGCGCTGGACAGTAAAGTTGGTTTGGAGCAAAAGGTCATCGACTCAAACTCACCAAGTGCTCCTTGGAAACCCTATACAGGGTCGCTATGGGTCAGAAGTGACTTGACGGCCCTTAACAACAACAAGTTGACATTCAGATTCTGGGGTAAAGTTCCCGGCTGCACAGCTTATTGGCCCCACTGCTCTGGGTAAGATTTAATCTGTCAGTTTTTCTCATTATTCCTCTATCAAACAGGGCAGCAGCATTTACTTAACATGACATTATCAGGAGTCCATAATGCAGATACTTGGCTATTTGGAATGGGATTAGCACAGTCATTGTCAGTACGTACTAATCCATTGACTAATTAATACCTGCAGTTAGAAGAATCTATTTGAAAAGCACTTTCTTTTCCAGTCCATCTTCCCCCAGCCATTTATTACTGGTTTTTACATGCAATCATTTTAGAGTATGAAGTCTACGTTGTTCAGTACCTGAGTTCTCACTGTCCTGGCATGAGGCCCAGGTTCGATTCCAATGCACCTCCACCCAGCTGTCAATGGAGGCTTGTATGTAGTTAAGATGCTCAACAACTTCTAAACTGAGACGAAAATCAGTCCTTGTAAGTCCAAGGGATCACCCATCTTGAAGCTGCAGGAACCGGCAGTGTTATGGTCCATTGTCCATGAGGTCTCTGTGTGTCTGGGCCAGTTCCACTACAAGCAGGGCAAAACCAATGTTTAAATGGTCATATGAGTGAAGATGACACCCCTGGTAAATGTTGTGGTTGTGTGTTCTGAACTAACCAGGTTTGTTTTTTCCCCAGGAAGCAGTATGTTCTGGCGACTGGCCCTGCTGGCTCTTTGGGCATCTTCCACCTCACAAGGTGAGTGTTCACACAGCCTTCCCGTTAGCTGAGTGATGAGAAAGAGCGGAGGCCAGACAGAGCGCACCCACCTGATACAAGCTTCTTCATAATTATTATATGCACTTACTTTTTGAATACATATAATGTAACTGATTTTGAGAAGTTCAGGTATGAAAGAAAAGCACCCTTTTACCTAGAGCTACGTTCCTCTATGCACAGTTGAGTCCTTTTTTCCAATATTCACAACATTGGAACAGTTAGTGTTTTAGAACTTACTTAGAATCATTGTCTTATCACTTAAAATATACCATAAACATTTCCCCATGTGTTTATTTTCATATACATCATTTTAAACAACTTTATGTTGCCGTTCAGTGCCTTTGAATTGGTTCTGACTCATAGTGACCCTATATAGGGTTTCTGAGGCTTTTTTAAACAAAATCTCCACGGGAGCAGAAAGTTTCATCTCTATCCTGTGAAGCAGCTGGAGGACTTGAACTGCAATCCTTGTGGTTTCTTTCAGCCCAGTGCTTATTGTATGGAGTCAATCAATGAGCTCCCCAAACAATTGTCTAGGATTCTTCAATATTTTTAGTCCAATTCTCACTATATTATTACTTTTCCTAGTGGAAAGGATGCCACAATCAGTATAGCTGTGAATAAATCATTAGAAATTTGTGGTGATAGCCTTAGATTATAACTTTAGAATCTCTTCATACAAAATTGCTAATTTTCAATAATTGTGGTATATTGCTAAATAGCACTATCAAAATTCAGACTTTTATCGCTAACACCATATATATCATGTTTTAATGCATCAAGTGCTAGATGAAACACTAAAAGCTGAGCACCTCAGCTTCTCACCCCTGGCATGCACCATGAGTAGGGTAATCTGGCTTCACAAAATCCAGACATACCTGCCTAATGGCTGACCTCAGATGATCTCTACAAGAAAGCAACATGTGGTTTAGTTTCTTTCTGAAAAGAGAAATATGCATTTCTTTATTGGAAAGTCCTCTTTTTTTCTGGGCTCTCAGGGAGAGCCTGAAATAGAAGGAGGTCTGAAATATAAGCCAAGAACAGGAGCTATACGTGTGTTTTGTGACGAGACGCAGCACTTTGCCAGAGCATGAACCAGGCATTGCTTTCTTTATTGAGAAAGTCTTGCTGTAGAAAATGCCAGCCGAACTGGACCTTGTGCTTGGTGAGGTTGCTGACTGATACCTCATCATGAGCTCCTGAAGGTAGAAACCACCTTTGTAGACCAGCAACTGCCCTGTGGATTCTTGTTAGCAACCCTGGGTTAGATGATACTAATCTACCTCCCAGTTGCCATCAAGTCGATTTCAATTCATGGTGACCTCATGTGTGCAGAATAGTCCTGGTTAGGGTCTTTCAGAAATGGATTGGCAGGCTCTCTTCCTAGACATCTCTGGTTGGGTTTGAACCGTCAACCTTTTGGCTAGCGACTGAGAAGTTAATGTTTATGCCATGAGGATTCTAGCACAGATGATAGTGGCTTTATGTGAAATGCAGTGTTGACATTCTTGTAAGAATGAAGAGGAGCAGCTGAGTGCTGGGTGACTGCATGTGTTTATTGGCTATAGAATTTTGATTGGCTTTTGAGCCCACGTGTCCTTACTTCCTGTTTGTTAGTAATTCCTTGCCACTGTTCCCTTCAGCAGCTGGTGACTGGGACGATGACACTTCCTTCAACCTTTTCAGTATCAGTAACATAAACCGCAAGACCATCGGTGCCAAGCAGTTCCGAGGGCCCGACCCCAGCGTGCCAGCATACCGGTTCGTGCGCTTTGACTACATCCCTCCGGTGAACACCGCCGACTTCATCAAGATGGCCAAGATGCTGCGGCGGGAGGAGGGCTTCTTCCTCTTGGTCACCATGAAGCAGGACAGGAAGTCCCGGGGCACCCTTCTAGCCGTGGAGGGACCTGGCCCCGGGCAGCGACAGTTTGAGATCATCTCCAATGGCCCGGCCGACACACTGGACCTCATCTACTGGGTGGACGGGAATCAGCACGTCATCTCCCTGGAGGACGTGGGGCTGGCTGACTCCCAGTGGAAGAATATCACGGTGCAGGTGGCGGGCGAGACCTACAGCTTGTACCTGGGCTGCGATCTGATTGACAGCTTCACGCTGGACGAGCCCTTCTATGAGCGGCTGCAGACCGAGCAGAGCAGGATGTTCGTGGCCAAAGGGGCCTCCCGGGAGAGTCACTTCAGGGTGCGTGAGGGCTCCAGGTGGGCTGGCAGTGGGTTCTGAGCGTGAGGTGCTGGTGAGAAGCGTCGCACACACTCGTTCATGCACACACCCACAGACACAGTCATCCAGTCACACACGTACCACACACTAGAAACAGACACACTCACACATAGCTGTTTATTTACCTACATGCACATACTCACCCACAGACACACATGTACCACACACCACGCATGCACAATCATCCATTCACGTACATGCACACACCAGAAGCAGCCACACATATACCACACACCAGAAACAGACACACTCACACATAGCTGTTTATTTACCTACATGCACATACTCACCCACAGACACACATGTACCACACACCACGCATACACAATCATCCATTCACATACATGCACACACCAGAAGCAGCCACACATATACCACACACCAGAAACAGACACACATTCACACATACCTGTTTATTTACCTACATGCACATACGCACCCACAGACACACATGTACCACATACCACACATACACAATCATCCATTCACATACATACACACAGAGAGACATACATGCACCAACACCATACAGAGGCACACTCACACACCATACAGCACACACACTGTACAGACACCCACACTACACATTTGCTTACTGACATGCACTTACATACCTGCAAACACACACCACATGCATTACACACCACACTATACACACTCACAAGTATACTCTACATAGACACAGACACACTCATCACACACATGAGCACATACATACAGGTACACAGAGACACGCCTGCTCACATACATTTGCACACTCACACGCACACACAGTGTGGCTCTCGGTGTATGTTCACATCTGAATATGCAGAGCAGGGCTCTGGTAAGACACCACACACCCACTGACACTCACTGACTAAGGGCTTCTTGAAGGCACACAGTCTCCTACACAAGCACACCACCTGCCTCGGAGTCCCCAACATTGAGTCATTGAGCTCCATACCAGGCACTAGTCTGAGGATCAAGAAGTCTACCCCCTTCAGATATTTCTGGTAAATCTGGGTTTGTTTTACTGCAGTTGAAACAACTCCTTTGTTTCCAGTTTTGTATTGAAAAGATATGGGAGCCAATGAACACCTGTCTGTTTCTAAGGAAAGGGCTATTTATTTATGGGAAAATAATTCCATTTTCATGTTGAAAAGCATTTTGGGGAAGAGGATCTTTTTAGAACCAGCATGTTTAGGACCCAAAAAGGAAGGTCAGCCTGGTTTTCTCTCTAGATAATTGTACAGTCATTGGAAGTAAATACGCGTTTAAACTCAGTCGTTTTAGTACAAAGCCTAGAAGTATTCAGCTTGTTGAATGGGTCATCTATGATCATCTGGGCGCTCACATGGTTCTCTATGATGACTAGCTCCCTCTGCAAGGTTGACCACTCCTCTGCGGCTGGGAGGGGGCATCTGTGTGTGTCAGGGGAGCTCTGGTAGACGTGTTGTTGTCAGTGTTCACACACGGACTGTGACCAGCCCTTCTGAGACCTTTAGCAAAATGCAAGAACACAGTGGTCAGGAAAACACTTCTTAGACTATTTAGAGGAGAGGTCTGAAGTGTGACTCCTAGGGCTCCCCTGGTTTTTCTTCCAGTTGGCCCGTTCTTACTGTAGACTCCCATTTTTCTGTGTCATGCCTAAAAACAAAGTTTCAAAAATCTCATGCATTGGGGATAATCAACTAGAAAGGACTTCAACCTGCTGAGTTTAAAACACGGGAGTCTTGATCACACCACCCCAGTTTGAAGATTCTATTTTGTGTTTTCATATTGTGCTTTATCATGGCATCAAGAGCTCAATGTTTATCTTTGCTCTAGTTCTCCATTTATGTATATTTACAGGGTTTGCTTCAAAGTGTGTACTTGTCATTTGACAAGTCTGTGGAAGACGTGCTGCGCAGGAAAGGTTGTCATCGAGGCCAGGAAGGTGGGTGTGTTTTGGACAACGTACGACATTCCTGTGCATGAACTGACTTTCTGCTATGGGGTGTGTGCTGGTGGAGATTTTAGCAAAACTATTTTAATAAAGTGTTATCATTGCCCTTGAACGAATTACCTAGTCAACTTTGACATGCTAACATCTGAAAATGATAACTTGTGTGAAGGATTGCTTTAGGATAGATTTTAGTAATCCAAAGTTTTGTTTCATTTTTTCCAATTTGCAAGCTAACATAAGTCACTGGCATTTAAAACTAATTTGAAATATAAACAACTACTATAGTCTATTAATGGTTGAAGATACTGTGCCTAAGGTAAATTAAATCTGTCAAACTTGATTTAAGAAATATTTTTATATGGTCCAGTGCTGTTGATAAAGTCAAATTATAAACATCTATACTTAAGGGAGTCCTGGTGTGGTGCTGTGGGTTAACACACCAGACTGCAAAGCCGTTTAAACTACAAGGTCAGTGGTTCAAGCTCACCAGTCGCTCCTTGGAAACCCTATACAGGGTCACTATGAGTCGGAACTGACTCAACGGCACTTAACAACAACAACAACAATACTATTTAAGGAGTCCTGGTGTGGTGCTGTGGGTTAATGCCCTGGACTGCAAAGTAAATTTGAACCTCAAGATTGGGGGCTCAAGCTCACCAGCTGCTCCTCGGAAACCCTATACAGGGTTGCTATGGGTCGGAACTGACTCATATAACACCAAAATACGATTTAAAGCATCTATTTGATCCTATGGAGCATGGTGTCACCATAGATCAGTTCTGTACTGCGAATTACAAGGTTGGTGATTCCAGTCACCAACCACTCTGTGGGAGAAAGATGAGATTTTATGCTCTAGCAAAAACTTACAGCATCAGAAACCTTATATAGGGTCAGTACAGGTCAGAACTGACCCAAAGGTACTTAACAACAACAAGTCATCTATGAATAATCCCAGTGACCTGCTAATGACACTTTTGAATTATATTTCAACCTTTTCTTGAGCTTTTAATTTATGAAGATCACTATGCTATGCACTTTAGATATGCCATTTGTTTTTCAGAATAACTTTATGAGATGGGTACTTCCATTCTCCTGATTTTACAAGTAAAGAAGCTAAGCTCTAAGAGGAACTCTGGTAGCATAGTAGTTATGAGTTGGGCTGCTAATCACACAGTCAGCAGTTCAGAACTACTAGCAGTTTCGCCAGAGAAAGATGAGGCTTTCTGCTCCTGTAAAGATTTATAGCCTTGGAAACCATGTACAGGGTAACTGTGAGTTGGAACTGACTCCAGGGCACACAACCCCCACCACCAAGAGGTTATGCAAGTTGCCATGTTTGCCTGCCTCTGTTTACCCACTGCAGTCCAATCCATTTGGACTCCGAGCTACCTGGTAGGACTGAGTTGTCCTGCTCCTAGGGTTCCCGAGAATGTCAGACTTTATGGGAGCAGACAACCTCGTCTTCTTCTTGAGGAGTAGCTGGTGGATTTGAACCACCCACCTTGCAGTTAAAAGTTCAATGCCAAACCCACTATGCCAGTGAGAAATAAAGTTGGGAAACCAACCTGGGTTTGTGCAACAGACTCCAAAGGAAAAGCTCCCTTCTGCTTGTTACCAGTTGCCACTGAGTTGGCTCTGAGTCATAGCGGCCCCATGTCCAACAGAGCAGCATTGTCCAGGCCTGTACACGCTTCCTAACCCTCGGCGTGCTCACATCCATTGTAGCAGACACTGCATACTGAGCCTCTTCCAAGCTAGCGGTCTCCTTCTTGAGCAATATCAGGCAATGGTCTGCTGTGACCCACAGGGTTTGCACTGACTAATTAGATATAGATTGCCAGGCCTTATTTCCTCATCTGTCTTAGTCAGGAAGCCCAGCTTCCACATGGGTGACTGCTGGTGTTTGAAATTCTGGTGACATAGCTGCCAACATCACAGCCATGTGCAAGTCAGGACAGCATGGCAAACAAACAGGAAGCCAATTATTTCAGTGGATAGTAGTTTTCATTAAGGCCACTTTTTAAATTTCTGTACAAAGTTATGACAAATACAATCAGCTCCTTTCTGGATCACTATGTGAAGGCATTATAGGATTGCTGACTTAGATGTCCAGTTACAGTGATGAGCTCTGTTGCCCCTGGAGGTGGGGTTCCCCGAGTGTGTGTGTTTGTGGTGTATGAAGCAAGTTACTCCTCCGTCGCCCCTTAGTACTGACTCGGTGGTGAGCCACTGACACAGTCAGAAGATTTACTATTCTTCTGGTCGAGCGCTGCATGCCTTTCAATCTGCTGGTCAGCCCAGGAGAGGGACTGGGCAAGGAAGAAGGTGACATTCTCAACACTGCACTCCTCACTATGGGTCAGACCCAACTCTCACCCAGGTCCAGCTAAAGTGTTCCCATCAGTCCCTTTGATCTGAGTCATTGCCCTTTTGTGGGCACAGTCACTAAAACATATAGACTGCTCTGAAAGGATGTGACATGAACGGCCATTAGGCACTAATGGTGGAAGGTGTTTCTTCAGGGCTTGTCGTCTGTGTTCAGGTGCCGGAGGAGTCGATGTGCTGAAGCTGCCACTTAGACACCCTGTGATGCCCCTTGACCTAACCCCACCTCTAACCCAACCCTAACATCTAGATTGTTAGGAGAATTCCAGTCAGAGTCAACTTCCTGAGAGACAATCTAATGATTTGCAACATTAATTAGCAAAGTGACAATCTGACGATCTTCACAGTTAATCAGCAGAGAAGTACACTTTTTTTAAAAAAATGGTTATTAAAGGAAATGAAAAGTAAAGAGTCTGGATACATAGAGGCTTTTGTTACTTAATGCAAGTGATATAAATTCGGGGTTGTTGTTGTTGTTAAGCACTGTGGAGTCGGTTCCAACTCATAGTGACCCTGCATAGGATTTCCGAGGGAGCAAATGTTTACAGGAGCAGAAAGCCTCATCTTTTTCCTGTGGAACAGCTGGTAGTTTCAAACTGCCGACCTTGAAGTTAGCAGCCCAATTCGTAACCACTACACTACCAGAGCCATTTAAGGATACTATATACAATATGCAAATAAACAGGTATATTTATCAATATGGTTCTGTTGTCATTGTTGAAGGCTGTCTAATCAGTTTCAATTCTACGCACAACAGACCAAAACACTATCCTCATAATCATTCCTGTGTTTGAGTCCGTTGTTCAAGACACTGTGCAAACCCATGTCAATGAGGGTCTTCCTCTTTTTCCTTGGCCAGCTACTTTACCAAGCACGATGCCTTTCTCCAGGGGCTGGTCCCTCCAGACAAACATGTCCGAAGTACGTGAGACCAAGTTTAGCCATCTTCACCTCTGAGGAGCTTTCCGGCAGCACTTCTTCCAAGACAGATTAGTTTGTTCTTCTGGCAGTGCATGAAACTTAAAATAATTATGGTGAGAAGATACAACCCTGATACACACCTTTTCTGATTTTAAAACATGCACTATCCCCTTGTTGTGGTAGAAAGATTTCCTCTTGGTCTCTATACAGGTTTCTCACGAGCACAATTAAGTGTTCTGCGATTTCCATTTTCTACAGTATTATCTATAATTTGTTTTGATCCTCAACCAAGTGCCTGTGCACAGTCAACAAACACAAGTAAACATATTTCTGGTAGTCTCTGATTTCGATCAAAATTTCATTTGGCATTAGGAATGATATGTCTCATTCCATGTTCTCTCCTGAACCTGTCTAGAATTTCTGTCAATTTCATCCTACAACTATTTTTTTTATTATCTTCAGTAAAATTTTGCTTGCATGTGCTACTAATGATATTGCCCAATGATTTCCAGATTCCATTGGGTCACCTTGCTTTGAAATGGGCACAAGTAGGGATCTCTTCCATTCGGTTGAGCAGACGGCTGTCTTCCGAATTCTTTGGCATGAACAAATGAGCACTTCCGTTGGTGTGTTTCCTCAGTGTTTTCAGTTTAAGGAACGTTGAGCTTGTTCTTACCTTTTGGTTTTCTTCTCCAGGTCTTTGCACATTTCATTACAATATTTGAATTTGTCTCATCAACTTGTCCTTTAATATTTTCTGTTCAGATCTTTTACTTCCTCATTTCTTCCCTTTACTTTAGTATCTCAATGCTATCATGCCAATGTCAGAGTCTCTTCTGACATCTATTCTGGTCTTTTTCTTCCTGGTTGAATTTTCAAGTGACCTTTAGTTTTCTTCCTGTATGATGTTCTTAATGTCCTCCCATAGCTCCTCTGGTCTTTGGCCATTAGTACCTACTGCATCAAATCTGCTCTTCAGATGATCTCTAAATTCAGGAGAGATGTATAAAAGGTCTTTTTTGGCTCTCATTTTCTTCAGTGTCAGCCTGAATTTGCATATGAACAGCTGATGGTTTGTTCCACAGTCTCCCCCTGGCTTGGTTTTTGTTTTTGATATGGAATTTTTCCACCAACTCTTTCCACAGATGCAATCCTTTTGGTTTCTATATATTCCATTCTGTGAAGTCTATGTGTATAGCCATCTTTTATGTTGTTTAAAAAATGTATTTCCAAGGAAGAAATAATTCTTCTTGCTAAATTCTATCATGTGATCTTTATCACCATGTCTATTGTCAAAGCTCATTTTCCAATTCCTGAAGCTTCCTCTTTATTTTCAACTTTTGCATTCCAATCACCAGTAATTATCAATACATCTTGATGGCATGTTTGTTCAATTTCAGACTGAAGAAGATGGTTTGTTGTTGTTAAGTGCTGTCGAGTCAATTTCGACCCATAGCAGCCCTGTATAGGGTTTCCGAGGAGCAGCTGGTGAACTTGAACCGCCAACTTTGCAGTTCAAATGATTTTCAGTCTGACATATTAGCCCACAGTACCACGCCAGGACTCCAAAGAAGATGGTAGAATTCTTCAATTTTATCATCACTGGCTTCAGTGATTGGTGTGTGAATTTGAATAATAGTGATATTAACTGGTCTTTCTAGATGTATAGATATTATCATATCATAGTTAACATTATACTTTAAGATAGATCTTGAAATGTTCTTTTTGATGATGAATGTGATGTTGTTCTTCTTAAATTTGCCATTCCGCAGCATAGTAAACCCTATGATTGTCAGATTCGTATTGGCCAATACCAGCCCATTTCGGCCCACTACGGCCTAGCATATCAATCTTTATGCATTTCATTTAACTTTTGACAACTTCCTATTTTCCTTGATTCATACTTTGTGCATTCAGTGTTCTGATTAATAGTGGATGTTTGCAGCAGATTCTCCTCATTTTGAGTTGTTCCCCATCAGAAAATGAAGGTCCTGAAAGCTTTGCTCCATGTGCATCCTCATGGTCAAGTCTACTTTGAAGCAGCTCTTTCCTAGTCGTATTTGAGTACCTTTCAAGCTTAGGGATTCATCTTCTGGCACGACATCTGACAATATTATGATGCTCTTCATCATAGTTTGTTCCTATCTGACAGTGCTGCCTAACATTGCTCCATTGCTATCCATAAGGTTTTCAGTGGCTACCTTTTTTCTTCCTAGTCTGTCTTAGTCTGGAAGCTCAGGTGAAACCTGTCCACCATGGGTGACCGTGTTGGCATTCCAAATACAGATGGTAGAGCTTAGCCTCACAGCAACATGCAAGCCATCACCATATGCAAATAGACGGATGAGTGGTGGAATGTGAATTATACCCAGCATATATTAATAAGTAATAAAATCTTAATAATGACTACCTCACAGAAACAGGACATTGAATAGTAACAATACAACAATAGAATGTGTGAAGGAGGTAATCTATATTAAGTTTTTGATCCTGAACTGTGAGTACACAGATGACCCCCCACCTGGGACCCCCAGTGCAGCTACTTAGGCCCAGCCAGGGCTGCTCATCACCACCTCTTCTGGACTTGCCTGGAATCAAGTGTATGAATTCTATGCTGTGCCCACAGGTGTCTCACACACTGAAACTTCAGAAGGTTGGGTACAATGGATGGGCAGTAAAGTGCAGATTGTCACTCAATTTCAGCAGGGGAATTAGGTGACGTGTAGAGGAAGTTGTTGGAGCATGATGACAACTGATTTTTCTGTAAGATCGAACAATGAGACATGAGAATTAGAGTTAGTGACAGATAAAAGAGATATGAAAGGTATTAAAACTGGTTGCCAGAATATGAAGTTAAAGAGCAGCTTCAAGGTGGGGTTAAAATGAAAACTTGTCACACAAACCTGCTATCTCTGCCTTAGTTTGAGTTAGACAGAAGATGCATATGCCATTTAAGTACACGTCTTTGTGAGTGTATGTTGTTGTTATTAGTTGCATTTCGAGTTGGCTCTGACTTATAAAGACTTTGTATAAAGAGGTAGCTATGGGTATGGTGCTGTGGGTTAATGTGCTGGACTGCAAAGCCAGTTTGGACCTTAAGGTGGGCAGTTCAAACTCAACAGCTGCTCTTCAGAAACCCTATATGGGTCACTATGGGTCAGAACCGACTCGACGGTACAACAACAACAACAACAACAACAACACTAGTGAGACACTTCTTGGTGAGGCGCCTACAGTGTCCCATGTGTGCTTGTCCAGAATCCAGTAAATCAGCACACAAATGATTGTCATTAATGTGTTGTATTACTTTTATCAGTATTATTTGGACTTTAAAATAATGCAAAGGTTCCTAGTAGAAATAGGAACTTCACACCACTTATCACAGCAACAAGGAGCCGCTGTAGAGTGGTGGGTTATAAGTTGGCCTGAAAACCCCAAAGTCAGCAGTTTGAATCTAGCAGGACTCCACAGGAGAAGAAAGATGAGGCTTTCTGCTTTTATAATGATGTACAGCCTCGGAAACCCCATGAAGATTGCTATGAGTCAGAATTGACTCCACGGCGACAACAGCTAGTTAGTTACCAGGTACGACAGAATGAAACATTGCATAGTCCTGCGGCGTCTTCATGAATGTTGGGATGTTTGAGTCCTTTATTATAACTAGTGTATTAATCCTTGTGATGGAGGGCTCTTCTCTGACATTTTACTTTACCAAGGAGTGCTGGCACAGTGAATAAGGGCTCAGCTGATAACCAGAAGGTCAGTTCTTCAAACTGGTCAGCCACTCCACGTGCGGACGATCTGGTGACTGGTTTTAATGAAGATGACAGCCTTGGACAGCCTAGGGGGCAATTCTACTTTGTACTGTAGGCTCGGCTGTGATGGGTTGGGGTATGGTTTTAATTTTCTGTACCAAACTCTACTCTACTTTTCCAGCGATTGGTTTCTCCTTGTAACATGTCTAAAGTAAGTGAGCTGATGTCTCACCATGATTGCTGCTAAGGAGCATTCTAGTTGTATTTCTTCTAAGGCTGATCTTTCTTCTGGCAGGCTAGTATTCTTTATACTTCCCTATTCCTAATCTAATACATTGCCCTTCCAATGTCCTATTTTACATGCACATGCTTCGGATATGATGTCAGGAGGGACCAGTCCCTAGAGGAAGACATCATGCTCGGTAAAGTGAAGGGTCAGTGATAAAAAGGAAGACCGTTTTTTAAAGACAGGTCATAACCGGAAACAGTGTTGTTCTCAGGTGTAACTTAGCATTGTCCTTGAGTTATGTTTGCAATCCATAGGGTTTCAGCGGTTGACTTTTGGAAGCGAATGGTCAGACCTGTTTTCCAAGGTAACTCTGAGTGGACTTGGTGAGTGTTGCAGCACTTAACATCTGTGCTACTTGTGGACCCCAACTTAGCATTGTGGTTGTTGTTGTGTGCCTTTGAGTTAGTTCTGACTCATAGCTAACCTGTATAGTATATCCAAGAGTGCCTGGAGGGTTTTGAACTACTGACCTTTCAATTAGCAGTCTAGTGCTTAACCTACAGTGTCACACCAGGGCTTTTAGCATTGTTGGATTTTAAAGTAATGCGTGTTGTTGTGTGCCGTGGAGTTAGTTCTGACTCATAGTGACCCTGTACAGGGTATCCGAGGCTGTAAATCTTTATGGGAGCAGAAAGCCTCTTCTTTCTCCCACAGAAAAGCTGGTAGTTTCGAACTGCTGACCTTGAGATTAGCAGCCCAATTCGTAACCACTACGCTACCAGAGCTCCTTGTAAAAATAGTGGCTTAAGACCACTTAGCAGCAAGGAGCCCTGGTGGAATGGTGAGTTATAAGTTGGGCTGAAAACCACAGAGTCAGCACTTTGCATTGATTTGAATTGTTGTTGTTGTTGTTATGTGCCATGGAGTCGGTTCCAACTCATAGTGACCCTGCGTAGGGTTTCCGAGGCTGTAAATTTTTAAGGGAGCAGAAAGCCTCCTCTTTCTCCTGAGGAATAGCTGGTAGTTTCGAACTGCTGATCGTGAGATTAGCAGCCCAATTTGTAGCCACTTTGCTACCAGAGCTCCTGTTGTTATTGTTGAGTGCTGTCAAATCAGTTCTGAGTCATAGGGACCCTGTATAAGGTTTCTGAGGAGCGGCTGGTAGGTTTGAACTGTCCACCTTGCAGTCCAGCACATTATTCTGCTACACCAGGACTCCAGTGCTGCACCAGGGCTCCTAGCATTAAGCCGTTCCAAAACCAAATACGGGCTCCACCAAGCCTCAATGGGACTCTGGCCTATCCCCCTTACCATCTTGATGTGTTTTCCCCCAGTGGAAGTCAATGCCATCAGTGAGAACACAGATACCCTCCACCTGAGCCCGCACATCCCATCTGAGTATGTGGGCCAGAGACCTGAGAAGGAGCCACAGGTCTGTGAGCGCTCCTGTGAAGAACTGGGTAACATGATCAATGAGCTCTCAGGACTGCACGTAATTGTGAACCAGCTACACGAGAATCTGAAGAAAGTGGTAGGTGCTCAGGAAGGAGGAAGGGATGGAACTCAAGACGGAGTTAGGGATGGAGGCCAGGAGGGAGGAAGGGATGAAGGCCAGGAGGAGGAAGAGATGGAGGCCAGGAGGGAGGAAGTGATGGAGACCAAGAGGAGGAAGTGATGGAGACCAGGAAGAGGAAGTGATGGAGACCAGGAGGAGGAAAGGATGGAGACCAGGAGGAGGAAGGGATGGAGACCAGGAGGAGGAAGGGATGGAGACCAGGAGGAGGAAGGGATGGAGACCAGGAGGAGAAAGGGATGGAGACCAGGAGGAGGAAGTGAAGGAGACCAGGAGGAGGAAGGGATGGAGACCAGGAGGGAGGAAGGGATGGAGACCAGGA